CCTTACTTTTACTTATAATAGAACTTAAGGATTAATTATAAGGAAAAAAGGTCTTTATAGCCCTTAACCTTAAAGGAATATATAACCTTATTTATATTAAGGAAGGAGATAAATAGAAGATAGTATTTAGAACTAGATTTAGATTATTTAAATACCTAGTAATGCCTTTTAGTCTTATTAATATACTTATAATATTTTAATAGATAATTAATAATATACTTTAATAGTACTTAAATATCTTTATAATATATTACCTTAATAATATCCTAATCTTCTTAAATAGTAAAGAAGAATATAAAGAATATATTTATAAAGTCTTAAAAATATTATAAAATACTAAGTTATTAATTAAACTAGAGAAAAGCTACTTTTATATTATAAAGATAGACTTTTTAAGATATATTATTATATTTAGAAAAATCTAAATAAAGAAAAAGAAAGTATTTATAGTTATAAAATAAAAAGAACTTAATAATATTAAAGAAATATAAGCCTTTTTAGGCTTTATTAATTATTATAAATAATTTATTAAAGATTTTAATAAAATTGCAAATCCCTTAATAAAACTTATTAAGAAGGATAAAACCTTTATATAAAATAATAAAGCTTAATAAGCCTTTAATAACCTTAAATAAGCAATCCTTAGCAAACCTGTACTAATAATATTTAATTTAAATAAAGAAATCAAGCTAAAAATAGATTTATTAGATTTTGCCTTAAAAAGATAAATTAGTTAATAAGATAATATAGGAAAATTATACTTTATTACCTTTTATTTATATAAATTATATAAAATAAAGCTTAATTATTTAATTTATAATAAGGAATTCTTAGTAATTATTAACTACTTTAAGGAGTTTAAATATTACTTAATAGAAAGTAAGTATTAAGTTAAGGTTTATATTAATTATTAAAATATTTTATACTTTATTATAACTTATAAACTTAATTAATAATAATTATATTATATAAAATACTTATATAAATTTAATTTTATAATTATTTATTATAAAGGATTTAAGAATAAAAAAGCAGATATAATTAATTAATAACTAAATTATAATACTAGTATTATTAAAGCAAAAAAACAAGTACTAGAAAAAAATAAAAGAGGAGAATATTAGTTTATTTAGAAAATATAAACCTTAGGATAAATATAAATAAAAGTAACTAAGGAAATCCTAAGAGAATTATAGGAGTTTATTTAAGAATTCTATATATATTTATTATATAAATATTAAGGAGTTATTAAGACCTTAAAATAACTATTATAATAAGGTTACTAAATAATATAAAAAGAAGTAAAAAAGGTTATTAAATAATATAATATTTATATTAAGATAAAAGTATAATAATATAAACCTTATAAAATACTATAATTAATAGAAGTTATAAAATAATTATAAAGCTTAATTATAATAGATTTTATAACTAAATTACTATTATTAAAAAATCCTTTAACTAGAATCTATTATAATAATATTATAGTTATTATAAATAGACTTATAAAATTCTTAATTTACTTACCTTATAGAGAGGTAATAAATATAAAAGCTATAGCTTATATCTTTTATAATAAGGTAATAAGAAAATAAGGACTAGTAAAAGAAATTCTATTAAATAGAGGATTAATATTTACCTTTAAATTCTAGTAATTACTTATAGTACTTATAGGAATTAATTACTAACTTATAATAGCTTTTAGACTATAAGTAAATAGTTAAATAAAATAAATAAATTAAGTATTAAAATAATACCTTTAGTATTATATTAACTATAAATAGGATAATTAAGTTAAAAAGCTATTAAATACCTAGCTAGCCTATAATATTACCTATAATAAAAGTATAAAACTTATACTATTTAATATAAATATTAGATTTATACCTAATATATATTATAATGCTTAGGAACTTAAAAATATAAACCTAGTAATAATTATTATAAGTAATAAGCTAAGAGAAATATATATTAAACTTAAGACTAAGCTAGAATTTATTAAGAAAAGGATATAGAGATATTATAACCCTAAAAGGTTAAAGGGACTAACCTTTATAAAGGGGGATATAGTTTATTTATTTATTAAAAGTATTAAAATAAATTAACTAAGTTATAAACTAGATTATAAATACTTAAGACTAGTTAAGATTAAATAAAAGATAGGGGAAGATTAATATAAACTAAATCTATCTTTAAATATTAAATATTACCTAATTTATTATATTTTAATACTTAAATTAGCTATAAATATAATATATATAAAAACTAGTAATAAATTATAATAAATTACAAGACTAGAAGTATATAAAGTAAAGGAAATTAAAGATATATAAAAAATTAATAAATAAAAGATATACTTAATTAAATAAAAAACTATTTAAAAAGTAAAAATATATAAGAACTAATAAAATACCTTATTAATACCTAATAACTCCTAAAGAACTTTTATTAATAACCTTAAAGAATAAAGAATTAAAAATTAGTTTTAGTTAATAATATTGGCATTACTAAAAGACTAAATATCTAAAAACTACTATATCCTCCTTAATAATAATATTAATTATAAAGAATTTATATATTAATAATAATAAATACCTACTTATATAATAAATGCTTTTAATAATAAATATAAGATAATCTTATAATAGCCTTATTAACTTCTTACTAAGCTTAAGAAGTTTTTCCTTAGCCTCTTTTTTACCTATTTTAAATAATTAGATTTATAATTTAAATAAGAAACTAAGAAATAATTAGCAGAAGGCAAATAATAATAAGAAAATAATATATAATAAGTAATTATAATACTAAAAGTATTATAAGATTAACCTGCTAAGTATACTTAAATAATAAGAAAAATACTTAATTAATTTATAATAAAGACTTTTAGCCTTATAAAAGGAATAAGGTATAATATTAAAACTAAACTTTATAATTAAATTTATTAAATAAATATACTTTAAAGTCTTATAAGATTTTTATTAAAGATTTTATAATATAATAATTAGTAAGGTATATTAAGAAAATAATTAAAAAAGAAAGTTAGTACTTACTAAAGCCTAATATAAGAATAGGGAGATATATAAGTCTTAAGGATAAGACCTAATAGAGAGGAAATATTATATTATAACCTATATAGCTATATTATATAGCCCCTATAATGTCCTCTAATTACTATAAGATTACTTCTCCTAATAATAATCCTCTTTTATTAAATTACTTAGATTATAATACTTTAAGATTAAATTATTATAAATTATTAATAATCCTTAAAGATTTAACCTTTAAATTACTCTTATTTTCTATTAAGTTATAAGGCTATCTTTAATATATATATTATATTTATTAATACTTTTATAAAACTTAGGTTACTAGCTATTAATAAGACTTCTTTATATTAATAAGCCTAATAAGTATTACTTAATTATTAAGAGATATAATAACTTGCTTAGTATAACGCCCTTTATAATCTGTAAATATAAACCTAGTATAGACTAGTTTCCCTATTTAAAACCCCCGACCCGTCACAGTACGGCTGCAAAGTATATAATATAGCTATTTATAATAATGCTAACTGTTAGTACTTATATCACATGCTATTTTAGGTGTAGGTAGAAGTACCGGCTGTCACGGTCATTTTGATTGGCTCCCCACCCTGGTCGTGACCCCGTGGCAGTCTTATGCCGCTCAAAGAGATAGCAGGAGATAAGCGGCGATTACCTTCTGCACCGTTACACTGTATGAAAAAAAGTCACGAGGGCCTCGTGACGAAGCTGCCTGATTGATTGGCTCACTGGCTCACTGGCTGATTAGCCTACTGGCAGCGCTACCAACAGATCAAATGGAATCAAACAAACTGCCAACAAATCAATCAAATATGCCAAAATCTTATTTCAAATCAAACAAATCCAGACCTCTGGATTTAGAACGATATTTGATATATTTAATACATGATATATGATGAAAGCTCGAATCTGCCAGGCTGTTAGGCGCGTCTTTGCCGCTTACCCGGAACCTGCTGGGCGTCAGGGTCTGGTGAGCGAATCTGGCCAATCAGAGTTATTACTCAGATCTTTCATTGGTGTTCTACCCAACAGCGCCTTCAAATTGGTTGAAGAGAAGGTAGCTTCTCGCCCCGCCCCCCAACAACATCAAACCACGTCGGTGTCTGTTTACCTCTCCTCGACGCGTGCCGTTCCTTACCAATCGATGCCTAACCCGATGGAATCCAACGACATCATGCTTCCTTCTCCACCCTACTACTACTGTGCCAGGGACTGCCTGTAATTTACTGAATTACATACTATTCGTCCGTGCGCTGGCACCCTGCCGTCATTACTGTCATGAAATTACATCCTTTTTATCCGTGCACGCTGGTTGGGTTTCGAACCGTCTACCGCCTCTGTCCTTGTCAGGGGCTCAATGGCAACAAACCATCAAGGCAAACCTCTGGGGTAGTCTTTCCTCATCCTAAATCTCCAGGTTCACTCCGAGAGTGTCGAATTTATTGCCTCAATTACGGATATTCACTTCGCCATGCTGAAAAATGCGGCTATGGGATTATTAAGCAATCTTCAACTCTTCATTGACTACACTGTACATGCTCTCATCTGCTGTCGAAAGGAATGTCAATCTGCCTTCTCGATTGCCGACTCTAGTGCCACAACCCATCTTCGCGACAAACACCACGTTCCAGAGGACGCGAGAAAAGGACTTACGAAGGCCCTACTGTACCAATTACCACTAATAATAGCACGTCCTTGGTACAGGAGGAAGTGCGGGCAGCCCGGTCAAATCCAACGACCCGCTTATAAAACAAGTTACCCCTGCACGCCCCCGGACCCGACCCCTGTCTGCCTGGTCGTGCTCCGATGCTCCTCCACGCCAAGGCTTCCTGGCGCATTCCCAGTCGTCGTATTCCCACAATCTTCCCAGCATTTGACAGCGCAGCTCCTTTCTGGGAAGTTGAGGTCTCTTAGGCTAGTTTCCGTCGCGTAGCTTTAGCCATCTCACGAGCAATCGGAATGACGCTCTGCACTATCATATCCTACCCTTTCAATTAGATATCCATCCAATATCAGAGATAGCTCAAGTCTTACAAAAACGGACTGTGGTAACAGCCACGATAGTAGACGAAGGGTAGAAGCATCTTTGCCGGCCCAGACCACTCCGACTGTGCCTTTCTCGACCTCACCGACTACTTTAGTCGCATACTGCTTCGCACTTATTCCATTCTCTTGCATGCGGCCATCAACAAGGCCATGAATGAAGTCCCTAATCTCAAAGTACTGGGAATCATCAGGTACATCGGCCGCAGGATGTTCAGAAAAAAAGTTGGTTTTGACCGCGGAGGTAAGCAGGGTAATAGTACGAATTCCGAGAGGTTGAAGTTCGTGACGCCATGTCTCACTGGCCGAGAGAAGAGCAGCCTTGGAGCTGTTGTAAATGCCTAGGCTGTTAGAAAATGGCTATAAAGAGAATCTGGCACTCACTCATGAGCGGCATAGGGGCGATTGCATTAACAGAGGAATTGTTCACAATGCATCCTTTGGTCTTGATTAGAAGAGGAGCAAAGGCTTGAAGCATAGTCAATGGAGCCCAAAAGTTTAGTTCGAATAGCTTCTTGCTCTCATCAATCGAGACATCCAAAGCCGGTAAAGTATAGCCTCCGCCACTGTTGTTGACGAGAACATCGAGCCCACCACCGGTTTGGCTCTTGACGCTTTCAACAGCAGCGGCGATCGACTCCGTGGATAACACGTCTAGCTTTAGAACCGTGACATTTGCCGCACTGGAGAGACTCGGGGAGACTTTTGATGGGTTACGTGCAGTTGCGAAGACGTGGTAACCTTTGGCGTGAAACGCATCAGCCAATGCTCCGCCAATACCACCAGCAGAGCAGCCGGTGATTAGGACAGACTTCCGTAGAGAATTCATTGAAAAGGATCAAGTTATTAAGTTTCTGCAAGATAAATAGGTCAGGACTATCAAGTCTCAGATACCATGATAAGAAACGAATTCCTGATCTCTTTTATAGAAAGTCCATGGCGAACGCTGACAGGGGGCCCAACATCCGAAATCTGCACCGAATCTGTGATAGTGACGCAAATACCAGCCGCTATACTCGAAACGGCAAACAAAAAGCTGTCTTGGCGCCCTGATTGACCCCACATTATGGGATTTGTCTGGGATTTGTCATCCGATGTCCGTTGTGTCGGGAGTATATATGCTCCGCCTTAAACCTTTACCTGTCAGGCATTACGTATATTCGGTCCATTGATACAGATTGGTGTATTCATGTTGTGCTGTTCTAGATCTGCCCCTGAACGCTCTACTATTTACGTGCGAAATCTTAAAAGATCCCTGCTTGCACGTGAGACCCCAGCGTATGCCTTCTGTTCAACATTACCACGTTAGGCAAACAAAAGGGACGTGCCAAGACTTTCACTATGACAGGATCGGATGGATTCAGAAAACCATCCGACCCAGCCGCAGGATTTCCTTTTATTGTCTCATCAAATCTGGAGAACGTCGATGCAGTCACGAGGAAGCTCATCAGAAGCCATGTCATGCGAGGGAAGAAGAAGAAAAAAGTTCGACCAGACAAGGGTCAGCCAACGATCGGCAGGAGGGCAAGGACAATGGCTGTTTGCACTCAGACAGCACGAGTCAAGCTGGAAGAAGTGGGCAGCTTGTATACTTCACTAATACCTAGCCGTGTCGGCTCGGATTTGTCTTTTGCCGAGTTTGCTGCTGATATAGAGCTGCCGATGCTTTTAAACATAGCTAAAGGTTCGTAACTCGGGCTTCCAAGAATCCTCCGGCTTACTGACATGAACTAAGTTACACCATTCGCAAGAAAGGTTATCTTCCCTCTAAAGGTGGCGATTGGCCTTCAGGAAGAGAACAATGAGGGACATTACCCCATTGCACGAGACGTTGTTGGTCTTCACATAACGGCGTTCGCAGTGGAAAGCTTCATCGACAGGGTTCTTCGCCATCGGGAGAGTATCATCAATTTAGCGGCGTTGCTTCATTTCCAGAAAGGCCTGACACTTCTAAAGGAAAGGCTTCTAGGGGAAGATGAAGAACTAAAAATTTCAGACTCTACAATCAGTGTGGTCTTGAAGCTTGCTGAAGCTGCACATTTCGACGGGGATTATCAGACATCAAAGCAACATATGCAAGGCCTTCGTAAAATGGTAGACCTGAGAGGAGGTATATATGTGTTTAGGGGCAAAGCCCTTGAAGTAGGGATGTTGAGGTAAACTATACCAAAAACTTATAGCCATCGGCTAGAAATACTGACCCTTCGTAGGTGCGATCTTAGCATCGCGATGCACAATGGGTCGAGCCATGTGTTCTTCAGTCAGCCTTCACAGCCGGTTCCGGATTATCCCCATAATCTCCTGCGAGTTTGGGACGACAAGATGTGTTCCCAAGAGTACATTGAGATTTCTGAAAGCTTGGACAGCAGTTTGGCGACAGCTTGGCGAATTATGAGAAGGTTTTGTGTGCTAGTAAATATTGGGACGCAGACTCAGCGGTTAATACGCCCGCAGACTATCCATGAAACGATGACTGCGGTAATGTATCGCCTGCTGCGCATGGACTTCACTGCCGGCTCGATCAGTGAAGCTATACGGCATGGGCTATTGGCCTTTTCTTACCATGTGTTCCTGCAGTGGCAAGATATCAAACTCCCTTACCACTGCTTTCCTACTATCTACAAAAACTGCATACTGGGCCTCGAGCTTGTCGATGGGATATCTTCTCAGCTAATGATTTGGCTCTTAATGACTGGAGCCCTTTCACTGTTCAGCACGTCAGAGGAAGTATGGATAAGGGACGGTCTGCGAAAGCAGGCTGATAAATGCTGGGTAAGTAGTTGGAAAGAAATGCAAGACATTTTGAAGTCGTTTATGTGGATTACCTTGCTAGACGAACAGCCAGGCAAGCTTGTTTATGACACGACTTATCTAGAAAAGGCTTAGAATAGAAAATTCAATAAAATTAAGGCAAGGCACGCTTTATGCTGTTAGTAAAAGGCTCCTTTTAGACTGTTTAGGCTAATAAAAGCTGACAAACGTGATCTAATCCTCAGACGCTGTCACTAGATCGATAGTCTAGATACATTAGCGGACAAAGTTTCCTGAATCAAAAATCATTTCAGCTGATCTAATCTGGCAGAGGCCTATTGGCTTGACATTCGGTTGACAACAGAGCAACGCTAACATTTTTCATCTTGTAAAACTGCAAGCCGTGACAGGTCACACAGGTCATTACCTGGGGTCTGTCCTTCCAGAAATGGTATACTGCTCCTAGAAAGAGTTAAGAGGATACCCTAGTTTGTTAGTTACTGCGGCAAGAATCCCTAGGCTATTTTTATATATAGCCAACTTTATAACTTACTATATTTTTATTTTTATATTATTAAACTTTTTATATATAAATCTTAAGATATAAAGTTTAATACTTTATTATTATATTATTTCTTTTAACTTTATAACTAACTTTAAGTTTTTTTATAACCCTAAATTGCTATGTAATAACTTTAAAGTAATAAAATAAACTTTAATATACTCTTATAACTAAAATCTATTAATATAACGTGTATAATAAGCAAGTGCTCCAGACAAGCAAGTGCTCTAAAAATCCCTTAACCTACATTATTATTATCTAATTAGATAATTCCTTACTACCTAATATATTACAACCCTCTAATAAAGCTAGAATTCTTCTTGCTCTTAAGGCGCTTTAAAATAACCTAAAAATAAGTCTCTAATACGCCGCAAATATCTATAAAATTAATTACTATGCTTTATATCACTGCTAATATAGCATTTAATTATAATATAATACTATCTAAAAGTTAAGGTAATTACCTAATCTAGAAGAATAGATTATAATTTAATTTATTCTTAACCTAAATGTATAATAATTTCCTTTATAATTATATTTTATAGAAGAAATAGCTAATTCTTTACTTATTAACTATAATATATAATTAGTTAATATATACTAAACTTATAACTTTATAAAGTAATAACTAAAGCTTAAAATATATTTATTTTAAAAATAGAACTAATAAAGAGCTAAATATAAAGATCTTATTATTATTTATAGTTAATTTAGGCTTATATAAAATATAATTATAAAGTATAATATTTAATTAAATAATATTTAAAACTTTAATAAAACTAGCTTTATAATAAGTATTATTATAGCTCGAATAGTTATTATAAGTTTAAAAAGATTTAAAAGATTAAAATTAATATAAATTAGAAATTAGAAATAAATTATAATAATTTAAGTAGTTAATACTAAAGGCTAATTAATTATACTATTTATTATTAATATAGGCTAATATTACCTTATAAATTAATACTAAGAATATAACCTCTTAGGCAATTAGGGTATTATAATAACCCTAAATAGCTAAATTAATAATAAACTAAGTCTTAAGTAGCTAAGGCACTTTAATTAATCTATAACTAAATAATTAAATAATTATTATTATCTTTTAATCCTTAATAATTATAAAAGCTATTATTTTACTAATTTTAAAAGATATTATAAGAATAATAAGATTATTATACTTTATATACTAGCTTATTTATCTTATTTACTTTAGCCTCTTAATATTAAATACTTTAAGCTATATAAAAAGGTATATAATTAAGAAATAAAATATTTAATTAAATACTTTATAACTTATAGTTTAAAAATTAAGTTCTTTCTTATCTTTTATATTACTATTTAAGCTACTTTTATAAAAGATAATATTAAAAAAGGCTTTAGAGGTATTAAAATTATTTCTTTTAACTTAGAAAATATAATTTTAAAGCTTAATATATAGCTATAGACTTTAATACCTATTAAAGAGGTTACTAAACCCTTAATCCTATAGGTTTTAAAGACCTTAAATATAGCACTTAAGGCCTAATCTTAGTTTAAATACCTTAAAAAATAAATTAAAAGGCATTATAATAGCTCCCTAGAGTTAATTATAAAAGCTATAATATCTCTTATTAAGGGGATTATATTAAATATATATAAACTTGCCTTACTTTAGATTAGGGTTAAAGACCTTAAATAAGTAAATAAGATATTAAGTTAATACTAAAGGGTAAAAAGGACTAAATTATAAAAAGAAGGTATAATAATAATAAAAGAAGTATTATAAGTAATTAATTAAATAGATATTAATATATAAATAGTAGCTAAATTATTAAATATTAGTAATTAAGGAAGGTTAGCGCAATTAGGTATTTAGTATTATAATATATATAATAAGGCTAGGTATAAAATAAAGACCTGCTAGGTAGTAATTAAGACCTCTAGAGAAGAGTATAGTAAGTAGTTTTAATTAATTAGATAGTTTATAGTATTATTATATTAATTTAAAAATTATAGGCAGGAATTTTTAAAGCACTTACTTGTCTAGAGTACTTGCTTATTATACACATTATATAATAAGCAAGTCGGCTACAAATCTTAACCTTCTTAATTAAACATATAATAAAAATACTATAACCTATTTAATTAATTCTAACTATCTACTTTCCTCTTCCTTAGATATTATAATTACCTACAGGTCCATATATTATGCCTGGCCTTCCTGTAAGTCCTATAGCACTAAACCCTTAGTCCCTCTAACCTTCTATAACTACTACTTCTCAAGGACTTAGCTACTACCTATATATTTATATCTATCTAATTAATTTAACTCTAACTATCCCTTATAATTATCTTCCTGCTATCTTATAGGTATATTCTTTTTATCCTTTTATTTTAATTAAGTATTATATTCTCTTCTTAAAGGTCTCTAGCCTTAGCCCTTAATAAAGCTATCTTATATATATTTTCCTTTAATATCTTAATATTAGATATAATAGTATTAATAATTAACTTTAGAGAGCTACTTTTATATCCTCTAATTTATCTTTATAGGTATTTTAAAAAGAAATTAGTTTTATTAATAATCTTTAATATCTTTAAGGTTTAAGGTTAAGCCTAGCTAATGTCCTCTTTAGCAGGTATTAGAATCTATAGCTATATATTAAGCTTTAATATTATACTTTTTAAGCTAAAAGAAATAAACCTAGCTCCTCTAAAACCTCTCTTAATATTCTTCTTAATTATAATAGCTTAAAAGGCAATATAAAAGGCCTAAAAGAACTTAGTCTAAGTAATATAATTTATAAAGTATCTTATTAAATACTTTATTTCTTAATTACAGGCCTTTTTTTAGCAGCCTAAAGTAGCTAAAATTAAGAGGCTAAAGTAAATAAGAGGAGTAAGGAGGTATATAAAGCAGGATAATCTTTTTTTCCTTATAATATATTTTAAAGTTAGCTAAGTAATAACTTTTATAACTATTAAAGATTAAAAGGTAATAAGCATTAACTAATTAGTTAGTTATATACTTATTAAAATACTTAAGCTAGTTAAGGCCTATCTTATTATCTATCTATATATTTTAAGTTATAATAATAGCCTAATTAATTAAAAGGCTGCTTTCTTTATACTAGTTATAAAGGTAATACTTACCTATAACTATAATAAATAGTAAAATTGCCTAGTGTAATAGTTGTGGTTTCTAAGGGATAAACTAGTCCGTTCTAGGTTTATGCTAGCAGATAAAGTAGGGCGTAATGCTAAGCGGCGCGAAGTATTATATCTCTTAATAGTTAAGTAATATATATTAGGCTTATTAATATAAAGAAGTTTTATTAATAGCTAGTAAGCTAAGTTCTATCTACTGCTAAAGGAATGTGTATATATAGTAGGTGGCTTATGGTGCTCTGAGCCTGGCTTACGGCGAGTCGTGAGTCCATATTATGAGCCGGATTGCGAGGCTTATGGAATGTTCTGAGGTAAGGCGTGAGCTACTATGTGATTGGTGGAAGTAAAGTGGGGCACGCGTGACGTAAGCGCCTTCTTCCGTTTGGGTCGTAATACCTAGCCTTTTATATTAATTACTTAAATTACTATAACCTATTCCTAATTTTTTAAGCTATATTAATTTTAGCTTTTTATGCCTTTTTGCACTTATAATTACTTTATTAATTAAAATTATATTTATTATAAAGCTAGTCTTATTAAAGTTATAAATATTATTTATATAAATATTATATTTTATAATTATATTTTATATAAACTTAAATTACTTATAAATAATAATTAAATCCTTATATTTAGCTCTTTAATAGTTATATCTCTATTAGAAATATATCTTAAGCTTTAATTATTATTTAATAAAATTAATAATCTAATACTTATTAACTAATAATATATTATAATTAATAAGTAATTAATTAGATATTTCTTTTATAAGAGAGATTTAAGAAAGAAATCCTTATAAATTTATATCTAAAATATATTAAAGTAATATCTGCTTCTCTTAATTAAATAGCTTCTATAAGTTTACTATAATATCGCATTATAATTAAATGCTGTTCTTTTAGTTACTAAGAGTATTATAATTAACTTTATATATATCTGCAGCGCGTTAAATACTTAGTTTTAGATTATTTTAAAGGGCCTGGAGTGTGAGAAGGACCCTAGCCTTATTTGAAGACTGTAATATATTTGGTTATTAAGAAGTATTTAATTAGATAGAGATGGAGAATAAGGGATTTTTGGCCAACTCGCTTATCTGGCCAACTCGCTTATCATATATATTATATTTCTATAGGTAATAATAATATAGTAAAATAGACATATCTAATTACTGTTTCTGTTTGTAGTGTTGCCTCCTAGTAGAGTAAATATCCCTGTTACACATTGTTGCAGCCTGAAGCACCCCCGGCCTCATGCACAGCGCCGTTACCCAATGACACAGGAGCCCACTGCATGAGCCTGAGAACAAAGATACATAATGGCTTGGTTGAATCAAGGCGGTAATTAAACCTATGTTGTCTCCGCGATAATTGGATGATTCAGTTCAGAACTCTATCTCGGAGAATGAATATACCTCCTAAGGACCAGTCCATCCGCTACGCGCCAGCCAATCTTCAAAAGAGCTAGCAGTAAGACCTAGGTCCTCGCTCGATTGCTCAACCTCTAGCTCAAAGGCTCCATAGCAGGTCTTGTCGGTTGGAGCTACGGCAGCCCATCGCATCATTTCAATGGCGTCTTCCTTGAATGCTGGGCCAACGAGTGCAGAGCTCAATCGACCGAACTCTTCAAACGAGATTGGAGAATGAACAGCCGGTTTTCCGGTAACGCGCATAAACACTTTCGCCATGCCTTCGGGAGTTATCCTAGGTCCCAAAGCAAGAAAAGCTTTCCCTTTAGTCTTTTCAACGCCTAAGTGAAATATCTCTGCCAGTGATTATCAGCCTTGACTTGCGTAGGGGAAGACAGCTGTTGAATATGGTAAAGTCTTACTTGCGGAAAAGGCTCCCATGTCGTGTGCAGGATCTGTCCATTGGGCCATTTGGTTCCCGGGTAGGGGCATACAAAACTGTACCACGCCGTCCTCTGAGGAACAGATTTATTAGTTCTGGGTGTCGATATGTCATTTGAAACTTGGAGATTAAGAGAGGGATACAAACCACGAAGCCGGCAATACTGTGGCCAGACCAAGTTAGTGTAAAAAAAGCCTGTACATGACGAACACGTCAGTAACCCCGCGAATGTTTTGAAAATTATAGATACCTGCCGCGGAGTACTGACCAGGAATCAAGGAGGTAAAGCCATTAAGCTCCTTTCTTGCCAATTGCTCAATAGAATGTTTGTTGTTCATGTGATGTATCCGTTTGAACTGGCCGTCGCTCGCTTTGACAGTATCAGGTAAGCTGCTAAACACCAAATGCTTGATGCAGCACTCCTTGGCAGCGGAGATGATGTTACGCCCTGCATTAATCTCGTGTTTTAACTCCCACTCTTCAGTAATTAGTTTACCAGGGTACCGTTCACTTGTCATGGCGAAGACGCCGTATGCACCCGTAAAGGCACTCCGTAGGCTTGATTCATCGTAAACATGGCCACTGACCAAGCTCAGACGATTATCAGTAGTTTGGTAATCTGACAAAAGCTTCTGTGCTTTGCCTGAGCTGGGATCTTGGGTAAGAGCTCGGACAAACCAAGGACCACCATATTCGTCGCTCAATAATGCCCGGACAACACCAGAGCCTTGGATTCCCGTGGCGCCAACGACTACTATGGTTTGTTGCGACTGAGTGAATGACATATTGTTGAGACCTTGCGGCAAGGACGGGTACAGAGTATAGACGGGGAGTGTGTCCGGTGGATTCTAGCTTACCTTAGGTATGGTCCTCTGTTGGCAGAACTTGGCTGATTCCGCTAAAGAGGTTATATATCCTTACTTATAGTCGAGTAATTAGATGCTAAGAAATGACTGTAACGTTAGCATTCCAGAACTATCGCTATGGATTAATAATTATGGCCGGAGTTACGAATGCCGAGTTGCGGAATTTATGGGACTGCTCTTGTTATGATCCTTGCGATTACGTCACGTATACCCCATAAATCCCACTAATCACTTCGTACTCAGTCGACTTAATTAGTGGCCTGGGGGCTCCGACTAGAAACGCAACAAGTTACACCCCTCGACCCGTTAGATTGTATGTTTGGGATCCATTGGTTCACTGGATTAGACGGAATTGGTTAAATCCTCGAAAATGGAGATCAGATGGATTTCAAGTCTTTCTGCATCAAGTGTATCTGCACGTTAGAGTATGGTCGATTGTTTGAGGTGTAGCTCTCCACTCTCCTACCATCACCTCGAACAAGGATAAACCTTACCCCGTGCAGATTCAGCGGCCAGCCTGCGGATCTACCTTCTTCTCAAAAGCCCTGGTGGCAAGGGCTTTTGCGATGGCGATGGTAGGCGTTGCATATCTCGAAACACCCACAGACCCGATTTGTGATGCTCAAGCAGGATGGCAGACTGGCCGAACCAATTTCCATCGACCGAAGCCAGGGCGTTTGTCTGTACTCATCCGCGCCATACATAAACACTTGACTAACAGAAAGTAAGTAGGACAACGTATTCGTCTCAGCGACTCGGTGAGTCATTGCTCTTTCAGATGCTCCGATGTATCCTCTGAAGCTGTCATTGGGTCCTGATTACGCCTTCCACTGTACCCTTCCGTTAAAACCCGCTGCTGCTAAATATCTTTGCCGAGTGTAAGCGGCTCGAATGGGCGGTGATTCTTGATCCGCTGCTAATATAGATCCGACCTTGCTATTGAAGGTCTGTCATCAGGGTTACTGGGGAACCACGAACAGTATCTATTGTAGTATGGCGGGGAACCAGCCCGTGTCCTGGGCGCATAGCTTTTTCACGGTCCACTAGGCATCATAACGTTCGAGTATTCTCAGACGTTCAAGACTTGGTATTCGGCATCCCCAATGGCGTCCTGATGCTCAACGCCACGCCTCCAGCTCTCCTCCCACCTCTGACTGGGGTCAATAGCCTTCCCCGCGTCCAAGACCGACAACGCTAGTTACGGGCCTACCGCACTCGACAATCGAACAACACTGCCTACTTGGACCAAGCTTGGGGCCGATCAGACTGGATTCCTACAGGCGTCCCAGCTGGCCTTGGATCTGTCGGTCTTCCTGAGCCTGCCGAAAAGGTTATAAACTGCCTCGCCAAGATCAGTGAACTTTTGATCAAGAACAGCATTGCCTTGCCCTCAGGCTAGGACACCCAAGGAGCCCTCCGCGTTGCAGTTGTCGCCGACCAAGCCAAGAAGATAATTCGCTAAGGACAACCTCGACCTCTGCACTTGACTGGACAGTCCGCGAAAGAAGTCATCAAGTCCCTTCAACCTCACTATCCTGAACAAGCCGAGGATACCGACGACCAAAGCAACGCCGATTCTGTATTCTTCCCTACTGCCGTAGTACATAGGGAACTCTAGTAGAGTTCGTTTTTACGCCTCATTTTACCAGGGGGTAGAGTTCTTTTTTGTGACCGCCAATCAAAACACGAAACACATATTGAGTAAGGAGCGCGACTACGCGTAGAGTGTTTAAGCAGACACGTCCTACTCACATAAACTTATAAGAGCTACTTAGATTATTCTATATAATAAAATCTTAAGCATTACCTACGTCATAGAGCCATTTACCTATCTTAAAAAGTATTAAGTTCCTATCTATAAGAAATGCAAATTTGCCTATATATTAAATAAAGTACCTACTTACTTATAAATGCGATATCGGGATATATCACCGATAGCATAACGAATAGTAGCAGAGGTTATTGGCAGTATACTAAAACGAACCCTAAGATATAAACAAGAGGCGATTAATGAAAACTGAATATAATATTGCTATTTAGGTTATACCTATGGAGTGAGTCGTGGTTGGTAAAGCCAAACAGAAGGCGAGCGCTCGAAACGAAGATTAGGCTGATAATGGTTATAATTGATATAGCACAAATCTCACTAAAACCATAATTTTTTATAACTAAATAAAAATATCTTAAAGAATAGCTATATTTTTCAGAGCATTAATTCAGGATATAAGAGGTAATAGACTCCTAGGTTTGCTAGGCGAGATGCTGGAAATGCTGGTAATAGTGCGTATTTAAGTAAGCCACCCTGAGATCAATGCCGGCTTTATTACTATCTCATAGCTCTGCTACTACCAATTATATTTATTCTTTATAGGAAATATGCCTGACTCTATTTATAACTAGATAAGATATTAAGATCCCTAGTTTATAATCTTCTAAAGCGCATACCTTGTTAATATTGCAAATTTCGACCCCTAGACTTTGTTTCTAGAAGAAGAGATAGAGAGCTAGCTATTCCGGTTATTTATCTTTTTCAGTCTTATATGCAATCTTAAGCCACAGCAGATATAATATTAGATAAAGTCTGGGCTAACCTGCCGCCTAACCTAGAGATTATTAAACTCAAAGAGTAATACATGCAACTAAAGCAGGGTAAGTACTATACCGAAGGCTATAAGTAAGAAGAATAAATTCAGAAGCTTACTAGTTAAATCTATATAAAATAAGCAAATTATAATAAATAGGCTGTTAAGGAATACTATAAGGACTACTTCTATTACTATCTTACTTAGGATATTATATATAAATAAGAAAGAAGTATACCTTAAGGTGCTATCCTTCCTAAGGCTTTACATAAAATCTAAATTATCTTTTAACTTAGATAGATATAAAAGTCTATAACCTTCTAGGTCTAATATAGGACCTCCAGAATTAGAATATGCAGGAATATAAATAATTATAATAGTAAGAATTACAGCACTAGTATTGCTACTAATAGTAAGGCCGCTGCTATCTTTATTAGATTTAGCCTCTGCAACCTTTATACAGTTATTAGGCTATTTTAGAAAGGAGTTTTAATTTAGAATTTCCCTTTTAGATAAGAAATCCTACTTATAATAAAACAGGATATATATTACTATAAGATATTTTAGTTATAAAGGCTAATAAAGCTATATATCTTAAATCTTAGTTAAATATAAATTTCCCTATATTTTAAATTATAAAATAGCATTAACCTAGGTAATTAATTACTATATAAAACATATCTAGACTTTTAAAATTGAAAAAACTAATAATTAGGTATTAAGGTAAATTATAATAGTAATATAGTAATAGTAGTAATAATATATACTTAGGTATTAATTAGTTATTAGATATATTTTAATTAATATTATAGCTTTATAGTTAATTTATAAATATTTAATACAGTAATTTCTTATAGATTATAAATTTAAAGGCTTAGTTTAGTAATAGTAATCCCTTAAAAGTAGGCAAATAGAGTTTTAAAAGGCTGGGATATAAATTAAAGCCTTAATATAAATATATTAATAAGTATTTAATTAAAATAAGTTAGACCTTTTGCCTTAAAGTTAAAGAAATATAATTAAAATATAGTCCTTTAATAAATAAGAGCTATAGATATCTTTAGTATATAATAAGAGAAAGAGGTATTTAACCTATAAGAAGGTTAAGGTATAAGGCTTAAGATAGCTAAATTATAGGCTATTTTTTTATTTAAAAAATATATTTTATAATATTATTATTATTTAAAAGTATCTTTAATTTAAACTTAGATCTTTTAAAATTAAATAATTTTATAACCTATTTTTTAAAAGATACTTAATTATAAGAGAACTAATTAAAAAGTAAAAATAAAAAGAGAGGGAAAGGCTTATAATATAAACTTATTTATAAAAAGTAATATACTTTTTTAGCTTTTATATACTAAAAAGTATATAAATCTAAAGACTATTTCTTCTATATTATAATCCTCGCAGTTACGTTATGTAAAACCTATAAATTTCCCCTAATTAATTAACAACTTACGCTTTCTCCTTATTTCTATTATAAGCTGCTTAATAGGACTTATAATTAGACTTATAACTTATATATAAGTACTAACTTACTATAGTAAGTTACTATAAATATATAAAATATATTTATTAGCACTTTTATAAATTCTAGCTTACTAGCTATTAATATAATTTCTTTATATTAATTAAGCCTAATATATATTAAATTTATTATTAAGAAATATAATACTTTAATAATACTTAATATATACTTTATATAATCTGCTAATAATAAACCTAATATAGCTTAGTTTAATATAGTTAAACCTAACTATTATATATTAATAGCTCTTATTTAGACTATATTATATAAATACTAAGTAATATAAATATAATAGCTATATTAATTACTCCTATTTAGTAAAATATTACTATTAATATTACCTTAACTTTAGTTAATAATACTCTACCTACTAACTAGGATATAAGAGAAAATAATAATAAATTATTTAAAAGTAATAATAACTTTAATAGTATTTAACTTTAATAGTAAATTACTAATATAATTATTAAAATAATAAAGCTTTATTAAATACTTATTAAAGTAATAAACCTCTAAGCCTAATAAGCTAATAATAACTAAAATAGACTTTAGGAAATATATAACCTTACTAATACTATTATTTATAATAAGGATATTAAAGAAATCCTTAAGCCTAATCTACTTAAGATATTTAATAAAACTTTAAGTAAACTCTTTATATTCCTTACTTAATATTAAGCCTTTATATCCTATTATTTAACCTAGTTTATAAAAGAAGTAAATAAAACTAAATATATATTAAGATGCCTTAAGGGCACTATTATATAATAGTTTTAGCTACTTCTTAAAGACTGGATTACTAAAGGAGACCTAAAAGCCCTTAAACCTTAAACCTATATATTATATACTAATTACCTAGCTTTTAAAAAAGCCTTATAATAAGTATTTAAAACTATTAATAAAAAAGGATAAGCTAAAAGAAAAATTAAAATACTTAAATAAACTTAATTTATATTTAAGCTTAAAGTAGAATTCCTTTAATTAGTATTTAAACTACTTTAAGATTAAGATATAC